CTCCGCCGTGGCCCTGTGCTGGGAGGGGCTTCCCCTTGACCTCTGAAGCTCCGGCCATCCTTCCGTCGTCTGGGACAGGAGGCCCGGCTGTGCAGGCGCTGGCCTCCTCTCCTCACGGATGGTTACACGGCCACAGGGCCCCACTCTTCCTGTTCTCTTCTGCTCTCTTGTCCTTCCCCATAAGGACGGGCGCAGAGTGTTCCAGATCTCTACATCCTGCTTCGCTTTTGACGAGCCACTCCATCTTGAAGCCGTTTCGCTCCCTTGCATTTTGCCACAAGCCGTCAAGAGAAACCAGGCCACTGTTTCCACGCTTGGCTTACAAACGGCCTCCCCAAACGTCTAATTTCACGTCTCACCCACGCAGCTTTCCCCAAAAGGCTGGGACGGGAGCGCGACTCAACAGCGTTTTCTGCCGACGGGTCACAAAGACGGCGTGTTCTCCGCGTCCGAAACATTTCCTCGGCTGCATCGGAGACCCCATCGGAATGGCCCTGAGCATCCGTAGTCCCTCGCCTGTGCCGTCCAGGACCCCTCGGCGTTGTCTCAGCGGGGCGAGGCGCGCTCCCCCCTCCCCTGTGCCCTCCTCCCCGGAACCGTCTACGGCAACGTGGGGTGGTCCGAGCAGGCCCCTCCCACGTCCCCAGGCCTCCGCCTATGACCCATGTCCACGGCCACTTCCACACGGGCAGGCGTTCCAGCCAGCAGCACCTGCCTCTCAGCACCTGTTTCCTGTCTGAGGCCTTCCGGGCTGCCAGAGGGAAACACCAAAGGCTGGGTGGCTTATCAACAGCAGACGCTCAGGCCTCACCGTTCTGGAGGCCGGAAGTCTCAGGTCAAGGGGCCGGCGGGTGTAGGAGCTGCTGAGAACCAGATTCTCTGTGTGTCCTCACGCAGTGGAGCAGTGAGAGCTGTTTGGGGTGTCCTTCATGAGCGCACTGACCCCCCTCAGGAGGCCCCACCCTCATGACCTCACCCCCCCCCCAGGGCCCCACCTCCTAACCCATCACACGGCAGCTGGGATTCAATGTGCCCATTTTGGAGGGACCGGCCAGTCGATAGCACAAAGTTAAGTCACTGTGGACGTAAGATGCAGAAGACTGTGGAAACCGAACCGCGAAAGAAAGGAATCTTTGGACCATGTAATTGGTCAACTAGGTTCTCCAAAAATGATCAACTATCGTAGCTCCCCCATGAACGAATATTTTTGGCATGCCACCAGACGGGAAGTTAGTTACTACAATTTTGGTACGAAGCGTCACACAAACTTTAGAAAAGGCAGGCCAGTGGTGAAGAGGCATAAAATCAAATGCACAGCCATGGCCACAGTGGGGCGCACTCCGCACGCCGAGACGCCACAGGTGCGGCTTAGCCTGGTGGTCAGGGGCGCAGAGGAGAACGAGGCGCAGAAGAATAACGTGTGTAAGAGGGCGCGCGTGCCCCCAGCTGGCAGAAGAGGCAGCGGGGCTGGCAGGCTCGCAGCGCGGCGACGCGGCAGGCGCGCAGTGCTTCTCATCGGTTCACTATTCACTAACTGCTGCCTGTGTTCCCCATGCCTGTACGGCTTTGTTGTTTAGCCCACTCCGGCCGCGCTGTGCTCAACGTACTGCCCACAGTCACCCTGACGAGCGTATGAGGTCCACTTCACAGCTGCGGAAAGGGAGGCCCCAGCGTAGTCAGCCGTAGAGGTCACTGTCGGGCAGTGATGGGCCTTGGCGTGAGCCCTGGGGGATGGACGCGGAGCAACCATGCAAGACGGCATCGGGCAGGGGCCGGCAGAACACACACACGCACGTGCATGCGTGTGCACGGGGAGGCATGGGATCCCAGCTGGGTTTTCACGCACGGAGACACCCTGCCTAGAAGGAAAGGCGGCGTGCAGCGCGTGGGTCACGAGGAGCCTCGCAGCTCAAAGAGCCCAGCCAGGCAGTAAGGGCATAAGTGAGCTCGCGGTGCGAACACACGTCAAGGGCAGCGTGGGCATCCTCGTCGCCGGGGTTTCCTGCTTGCCCGCAGTCCTGTGCTGGCTGCCGATGGATGGAGGCCAGCCTTCTCGGCCGCGGCTCTCATCTTTCCCAGTCTCTTCCTCTCTCCCCGCCTCTGCATCCCTCAGTCTCCGTACATGGCTCTCTCGTCGGCAGACTTTCCGGAGAGAGAAGCCATGCCACGCCGCTGTGCGGAGCCAGGGGTGCAGAGCGAGACCAAGCTACTCCTCGCGAGCTGCTTCTCCTCTTGGGTTTAGGCACTGAGACCCTCCGGGCTCCACCGGAGGGTGGGAAGGGCTGGCGGTGGCTTTCTTCTCTCCCTGCAGCGACCTAGACGGTCAGAGCCGCCGTCCTCAGGCTGCGCCGCCGCCGACAAACTCCCCACTGGCCTCGCGTCCGACGGAGCACGTCAGCTGCACAGTGTCGCTACTCAGAAAGGGGGTGATTTCCTGTCCCCTCATGCTTCTCCTTTCCCCGCGCCTCGTCTTCCCCCAGTGTTAGGATCTTCTAAGCTAAACGCTTCAGAGTATTCTAGCATATATTGCAGACGTTCTGAGAGCCACCATCTGCCGTCAAGGAACTACGCATCCTTCCTTCTTTCCGTTCTGAATGAGGTTAGAGCGCTCTACCAGACATTGAAAATGCTCTTGTATAACCCAGCATAACTGCTAATTATTCAATTATTCTCCTTACAAGGTATTACACATTTGCGTCTACTATTTCTCTTCTGTTCAATGAACTCGACTAATTACACCAATTCTCTGAATAGTTATTATCCAAAACAAAGGAAACCAGAGAAAGTCATGTTTACTTACTGCCATCGTTGGCTAGTGCCGCTCTGATTACCACTAGCTCAGAGCGGGAAACAGCCGCATCTCCGATGCCGGCGCCTGCAGGCTGCAGGCCGACAGGGGTCTCCCCGGGGCCCGGGCACGGCCGCAGGGCCACCTCCCCGCCTGGGCGCTCCTGGGCGCCCCTTGCTCAGGCGCCGGCAGAAGCCCTCCTGCGGCTGCGGGACGGAGGCCCTGGGTCGCGCGGGCTGGCGGAGAGTGGCCACAGCTCCTAGAAACCCGTGGGCTGTCCTCCCACGGGCACTCCCACATCTCAGACCCAGCGAGGGGACAGGCAATCCACAAAGCATGTCCACTCTTAAGGGGTCCACCCAGGTTACCCAGGATCACGTCTTACGTCAAGACATAACGTCACCTACAAAATGCCTCGGGCCACGTCCAGGGACATACTGCCAGGTGCTGGGACGAGGGTGGGCCGAGCTTTGGGGGCTGTTATTCGCAAACACGGTCCCACGGACGAGGCGCTGAGAAGAGAGTATTCTACGCAGCGTGCAGTGTTACCACGCACAATGGCAGAGGCTTGGAGGGGCGGCCCAGCCGGTCACTAACCAGCTAGCTCGTTGTGTGCAGGTCACTATGCATGCAGGATCCGGGTTCCGGGCTCTTTTCCCCTGTTTTGAATGATGCTGTTGGACAGCGGCCACCTCGGCTTGTTTATTCGTGTGTGTGTGTGTGTGTGTGTGTGTGTTCACTCACTGAGCAGGTCCTGATGGAGTTGTCGCCAGGCCAGGGGCCGGCCCACAGCAGCAGGCGGACAGGGTACGGCAGCTCTGCCTCCGTGCCTTTGGGGAGCACACGTTTCCGGGAGGGGGACAGGCAGGAGAAAGTAAGTAAACACAGCAGGGAAGGACGGCCTGGGCTGAACGGTGACAAGCCCATGAGGACACGTTGTCGGAACAGCAGGCGCACCGGCGCCTGCACAGCGGGTGGCCGAGCCCCGGCCCAATGGGAAGGGACCCCCCTCTGTCCGGGGCCCATGAGCCCCAGGCTTATTGCCACTCCAGCCAGAAGCAGGCTCCGAGCCCCGGGAGCCTTGTGCGTCTGCATCGGCACTGACCGCTTGCAGCCGTTCAGGCAGGACCGACCAGCGCCCCTTTTCGTAAGTCTACGTAATGTTATAATAAGATAACAGAAAAGTCTTAGCTCCGGCTTTGAATGCATTAGCGAGAGCCTGGCGCCGTCCGGATACCAACTACAAATACTCTAATCTCTTATATCACAAAGTGGTTTTCCTTGTCAGTTGGCTGTTTTGTTGGGTATTTCAACTGGGATCATTCAAATCGTAAAATGCAAGGAGTAAGATTCGGCAGTGAGGATCCATGCATTTCCCATCCAACTCAGGTGGGACCTGGACCCCTCAGTGCAGACCTTGTCCTCCATCCAAGGACACCTTGTCCGTGTCACTGGAACCTTGCTATGATTCCCACAGAAGGAAGAACAAGGAGACACTGCCCGTCCTTCCTAACAAAAGCGCACCCTTTCCAGCTGGCAAAAACACCATGTCTCACCTGAGCAAGCATGTGGCCATTTGCAAGCCACCGCCCACCAATTTTGCAGAGATAATGAACTGTCGGCCAACCCGCTTTGCACCGTGTTTGGAGAGAAAGAAGGGCCTCACAACCAAAGGGAGACGCCAAAGGGAACACAGGATTGAGAAGCTGAGACAGGGCTTCCACGCCCCACGCCCCACGCCCCCCAGCCATCGGGAGAAGCCCGGCTGTGTCCCCCACGCCTGTCCGCCCACTTCTCTCCTGTTAGAAAGCCATGCCAGGGCCCTGCACGCGCCTGTCCCTCCCAGTTCACAGAAGGGACCGGGAAAGGACTGAGGAACACAGTCCACACAGAGTCTCCCAAAACCTGCCTTGAGTAGCTACAGTAATTGAGGAGACTAATTCATTGCCACTAAACTGCCCAGGCGACCGGCCTGCTGGGATAAAGGCGAGGGCGCTGAGCACAGGGAGAGAAACGCAGAGCTGGTTCGGGGCCGCTGGAGCGGTGCGGCCCGAGCTGGTGGATCCGCTCGCCACACGCGTCCTCCACGGAGCACGCCCCCTCTCAGGCGCGACAGAAAACGCTGCGTCTGAAGACCGGGGCGATGCGCAGGGCCCGTGCGCAGTACTTACGTCGGCAGCCCCGCCCCGCCCCCTCCCAGGCCACGCGGTACCTGAATGAGGTCCTCCCTGCAGGAGAAGCTCGAGACCAGGCAATTTTCTCTGGTCCTGGTGTTGGTGATGGACACGTGCAGTCGGTGCTGGGCCAGCTTGTGGGCGTCGGGAGGGAGAATCGACTCCATTCTGCTTCTGGAGGGGAAAGCGTGGCCCGCGTCACTCGCCGGCCGTTACTGAACGCCCAGCGAGCGCTGGCTGCGCCGAGCTGCCCGCAGTTTGCAAAGAGCCGCCTCTGCGCCGCGTGCGCACGCTCTGGCGGGGCAAGGCCTCTGGACGACGCGCGGACATACGGACCTCAACCGCGCCATGAAATCGTAGCCAGGCGTGAGGGCCCCAAAAGACTGTCCTCGGATTTCTTCGGCAAACTGGTAGGTAAATTCGCTGCATTCCTGAAAAAATTAAAAAAAATTAATAGGTGACTCCGCTTTGTCGAAACATTTGTTCGGACTCCAGAGCGCTGTCCTGGTCCCACCCTGCACCCGGAGCCTACAAACCACACCCCGACACCCATGCACAAACCAAGGTCCCACCTGGCCGACCCCTCCCTGCCATGCTGGCTTCCCCGGCAAGCTCTGTGTGCTCTCACGTCCAACCTTAATTTTTTTTTTTTTCTTTTTCTTTTTAAATCCCTTCCAAGGGCACTGCCCACAGCAGGGGAACCCCTCAAGGCTGTGTTCGAACTCTAACGGAGCCCATTCTTCAGCAGACTTCTCCGACCCCGGAAACCTCCTCTGCCGCCCCAATGCATGGCCGGGGGATTATGAACAACACCACCCCTATCAGAGAAAGGAGTCCCGGGACTGTCCACGGCCAGCACCAAGCGCGAGGCGTTGGGGGTCAGTCTTGGGCACTGGCATCGCGTGGACGTGCCCTGGGGGGGTCTGATGACCACAGTGGACGGGGACCCACGGACTCGGCCTGTGCCAGCGCATCCTCCCATGATTGCGCACCTGACAGGTAAGCAAACAGGCTGGCAGAGATTCGGTATCTTTCCTAATTCCTCATCGAAACGGAGGGTCACGGGCAGGATCGGCAGCCAGGGCCGTCCTTCATTCATTAGTTAATCATTCAGCACCCCGCTGGGCACCGGACGCTGGGCATGGCACGGGGACCGGGCGGGAAGGACAGCCGAGGAGCCCCGCCCTCGGGAGACTGGGGATCGCCCCAGTGAGGAGGCCTCACAGTGATGCGTCGGGGAGTGAGACAGAATGCGGCCCCCCGCCGGCCACGATGCCCACGTCCTCGACCTCCAGAACCTGTGAAGGCGTGGCCATCCGTGGCCAAGGGGACTCTGCGCACGTGAGGAGTGAAGGATCCCGAGATGGAGAGACCCGGAGGGCCCAGTGTCGTCCCGAGGGCCCCCGGAGGGCAAGACGGAGGCAAGTGCCACGTCATGGCTTCAGAGCTGGAGAGAGCGGCCGAGAGCCAGGAAAAGGAGGAGCCTTTCAAGAGGCGCTGGAAGAGGCAGGGATGGGGGGGGGGGGTCCGTCCCCGAGGGCGGCCAGAGGCAGCATGGCCCTGCTGACCCTCTCATCGTAGCGCAGCGACACCTTTCCGGACTCCAGGGCTGTAACAGGACGAATATGCGCTGCACGAGTCACGAGCACATATCCCGTGGGCGCCCACCTCCGACGTCACGGGTCCCCCAAGGCTCCCTTCCAACCTGACACCCAGGCTGCGGCCCAAAACAGGGACAGGGGCTGCATGGGCGATGGAGGTGTTCAGACGACAGGCGAAGACGATCATGACAACGCCCCCCAGAAGGCCACGTGCCGGGAGGCATCCCTGTCAGGGAGCCCAGAGGGGGCTGAGCCACAGGGGGCCTCGGGGGACACGCGCAGAAAGCTGGGCCCCATCCTGAGTGCACAGGGAGCCAGGTGTGGGGGCAGGCAGGGCAGGAGATCGTCAGGCTCGAGTGTGGGTAACATCGCACCCGCGCGGCAAGGTGGCTGGGCTGGAGGCAGCGGCGGAGGACGTGGGCCCACCTGCCAGGCAGCTGCTGCAGGCTTCTCGGGGAGAAGGGGGGCAGCCCCCCCGCCCGACGGGTGCTCCTTCCACGGAGCTAGGCGGCACTCGGCTGTTTTCTGGCATTGATTTTCGTTACACACACACCCCCCCCTGACCAGGCTGGAAACCTAGGGAGGAACGGGTTCGCTCACCCTTGCGTTCCCACTCTCTACCACCATGCGTGGCAAACTACCACCATGGAAGGCTTGTGCGCTGAGCTCCTTGCATACCGGCATCTGGATTTGCCTACTCCCCAAAATACAGCGGCGTCAGGTGCTCCTCGGAGTTATGCACGCATTTGCTCGGCACTGGATTAATTACATTCCCATTTGTCACGGCACCACGGCCGGGGGGCGGGGGGCGGCGGGGACTCGCACCGTCAGCAAGAAGAGCACTAACAGAGGTTGGAGAGGGGAGAAAACCGTTGGCTCAAAAAACTCACCGCCATCCCCAAGGGGTATGTTTCAAATGCTGAAAAGAAAGAAAATAGCCTCAAGCCAAATGGCTGAACATTTACTTTGAAGGAGAAATGAGGAGGCCCTGGGCAATTTGAGGTCATTTTCCACCGTCAGGGGTGAGCAACAGCGAAGGCTCACTCTTACGTCACAATGAAGCTCTGCCACCAGGTCTCCAAGGTACCGAAAAGCAACTAAGAGCACGGAATGGGATTTGAACATACAGTGATTCAAGTCTCAGAGGCAGGGAAACCACGAAAAGTGTGACCATCACAGGAGGTCAAGCAAGTGGCTGTATTTTTTCCCTATTTCTAGATTATGTGAATCCTCCATCGCACGGATTACATTTCTAAGCCGAGTGAAGATGTGAAACAATTCCAAAGCTCAGGGTTTTTGCCACCTATGAAAGCCCGCACCACGCGGGAGCGGAAGGCCTGCAGCCGCCGCTGCTTCAGCAAGAAACCAAAGTCGCGAGGGAAGGACCGTCCACAGCTGGCAACTCAGAGCCGACGAGTCTATTCTGCTCCGTTGGAAGGAGTTTGTGCACCTGACTGACATTCTCCCCGACGCCCGGTTCTCACCTGTGCCATCGTGGAAGTTCTTACTTTTTCCCTTCCCACTCAAGCAATCACAGAAAGACTCGCCAAAAAGATAAGTGGATTTCGGAATACTTGGCCTCAAAGCCAGTTGCTCTTTTATAAGCCGCTCAGCACGGACTGGAAAACAATTTTAATGTGTTGACATGTAGTTTTGAAAATTTAAATGTGACTGAAATTCATCCTTGGGCATGCATGTGTTCATCATTTTTGGACTGTGGTTCAGAGCCGCCGCAGTAAGGAAGGAGTTAACAACTGTAACGCGCTCCACCTACGAAAGCCAGGCCAGGCAGGCTCTCGGAGTCAGCGAATGCATAATCAATGCCTAGAAGCAGAACACAGATTTTTAAAACATAGATTGCATTCAATGAAATATTTAATGAAGGCTCATTTTTATTACTTCTGGATAAACTGCTTGGAATTCAAGGCTTCTTCGTACTGCGAGAATGAAAAACAAATTAAATTCTAATATCATTCCACTTAATAGAAATTACAGGCCCACACTGAATGTATAATGTGAATCGGAGCGAGCAGACTTAGCCGCCGCACATTGGACGCCTTGAAAAGGAGGCCCTCTGCTCTCTCTTGATCAAAGAAGGAAATATCCTCTGCTTGAAAGAGACAGAGCTGGAATCTTAAGACTAAATAAATATTCCAGAGTAAAATCAAGCATTATATTTTGTGTCTCACTGTCCCCCAAAATGATCTTCTTTTCCCCATCCAAAGCACAGATCCCTAACGATTCTATTTTAAAAGTTTTAACCTTTTGTTTCCCAGGCAAAGGATTAGTTCTCCGCAGTTAACTCCAGGTTAACGTTCATTTAGGTGTTCAGGCGTAATTTCTGGCGGAGGAACCCGGCCTCGTTACTCTACTTAATTACCTCTATTTTTTCTGGCGCTGTTAGCAGGACGGATGCAGCCAAGGACCCGGCCGAGGCCCCCGCGAAGGCCTTGACGTTCTGCAGCAGTTTCTGTCCGTGTTTGCAAAAGGCCGATGCTGCCCCCAAGTGGTAGATGCCCAGAAACCCACACGCTGCAAAGGACAAGTTGATGGGCTTCATTCTAGCTGCGAAAGGGCCGCACAAAAAAACAAAAATGCTCAAAGGTGCTATACTGTATGCTAATCGTGATCCCAAGCCTTTGTTTTAATACATAATTCTTTGTCCTAGTCCCAGCACTTTCAGGTAAAGTCTAAATACTCAAATCTTTCGAGGAAACTTCCCCCTACCTCATCTTGACCCAAAGTTACAAAAAAAAAAAAAGTTACAGCAGTCCATGTTTGTTATGTAATCTGTTGGATAAATATGGAATGCATCCATTAGAGTATGCAATCTACTACTTAATTACTTGGCAAGAAAGATGGATAAATTCCAACTGGCAATGCATATGGTCTTTTTTTCTTGACCTCTTCAAACTTTTGGCGGCAGCGCTAGATTGTGGAAAGGTAAAATCATTAGGCTGTCGCAAATCCCAAATGACCCACACATTTGGTTTACCCAAGTGTATGAGTCAATTTCAAATATAGGTCCCTGCTCCTTTCCCTCCCATTTCCATTTGGAGCATCTGTTTTTCTTAAAAAGACAAACGCCCGCAATTATTCAATAATGTGCCGTATTTCATAGCCAAATTTCTTAGGACAATCTGAGGTCCTGCCCGGTGAGGGCACTGGAGGCTCAAAGGTTATCCGCACCACCGGACACCTGCACGAAATCTAACAATAAAACTGTTCGCTCAAGCCAGAGAGGGCAGGAATTCCCCCCTCGCATGAAATCGTGCCCCCCCGCATGAAATCGTGGCCCCCCCGCAATGCCGGCCCGCAGCAGGGCTTCCTCGGGGGCCTCAGAACCGAGTTCCAGGACCATCGTAACAGGCAGCTAGCCCAGGCCTCGAATTCGGGAACCTAAAACGTCTGCTCTGTAGGGGAGGAAGCTCAGCCTTTGCAGCCGAGCCCCGGTTTTGGTTTAATTTCTGCAGGTTGAGCAGGTAGGGAGAGGGGGGTCCTCCGCGTCCAGGTGCCCCGGCCGGACCGCGCAGGCCCAGTGCGCACCCGCGGCCAGGGGTGCGGGACGGGATGGAGGTCGCCGCCATTACAAGCCTGCGGGGGGCCAGAACCGACACGCGAGTCGCCGGAGCAACTTCGGGGGGTCGAAGCCCCTCGCCCGCCCCTACCAGCATCCTGCTCGGTCCTACCAATGCAGGCCTGAGGCACTTCCGCGTTGAACGCCCCCACCCAAAACTGCTCCTTAACCGGAAGGCGGGGCCGGCCGTCACTCAATGAGACCCCGCCTACCAGGGCCGGACCACGCTCCCCGCGCGCCCGACCGGGGAGGGCTTGGCGCCCGCCTCCCGCGCGGGCTTGTGATGTCACCGCGCCGACGCGAGCGGCCACTAGGCCCCGCCTGCTCTATTTAAGTAGCTGGACTCATCATGGCGGCGCGCATCGGGCCGCGTGACCGGGGGTTCCTGCAGTGCAAACAAGGGTCGAGCCTCTCGTTTGGAGTTCTTCGGACACCGGGGGATGCGTTTTAGTCCCTGTGGCCATTTAGCGCCACCTGCGGGCCGGCCCTCAGGTGCGAGTCCTACGACCCTGAACGACCCTCGGTTCCGGTGCACCGGAAGTACTTGGCCCCGTCGCCTCTGCTTCCCGGAAGTGGTTCCTCATTTTCCCCGCCCCCAGGGCGGTCCCGCTGTCTCAGAGGGCGGGTTCCCAGAAGTGGGTTGTGTCCACGGGTGCCGAGCCCCGTTTCAGGACCTGCTTATCATTTTTGCCCACGCGTTAACGTGAAGGTCGTGCCACGGCTTTGGGTGGCGTTCACTTCCTCAGTCAGCCTTAGGCGGCGTGACCTTGGGCACGTGGCATGACCTCTCTGCGCCCCCTAGGTGACTCAGCTGCCCAAAGGGGTGGTAAACAGAGTTAGGCTGAGGCTCCTCCGCGTAGCGTGCCGTGGATACGCAGCCGCTGTTCGGTGCGGTGGCACTGCTGGCTCTGGACAGGCTTTGGACGCAGCGCTAAGTGGTGGCCAGGCCGGCTGACGTCCCCACCCCAATTCAGTGGACCCCGACCAATTCTTTGTCTCCACCGACTGTGTCTTCCCTGGGTAGTTCTAATAAGCAAGCCCGCAGGCGTTTCAGGCTTCCTGGTTGAAGGGTCTCCCGGTCCCCTTTTTAAAGGACAGACTTAGCTGTCACCGAAGGTACAGAACAGAATCTGTAAAATGCAAGCCTGTCTCTTGCCTTGAGCAACACGGGAAGGAGGTGCTCCGCAAACGGCCTTTACCTCTTTACCTCGGGCTTTTTCTTTCTCACCTATTGGGGCTGCCAGCCACCGGGCCTCTGGCAAGGGCGGAGGATGGGGTGACGTGGAGATTTTCTTTTTCATTTCCGTAAATAGCCTCTGAGAGGGCTGATCCCGCAGACGTGGCGAACGCTTTAGTAACACTAGAATTTAGCAAAGGGACGTTGACGTGTCCATGAAGGAACCCCAGAAGGTCAAACGCATGGGTAGAGCGTAGTCTTCCCACAGAGGAAGCCTATTAAAAAGGAAGAATCCCAGGCTTCCCATCAGATCCGAAGCAGAATCTGCACTTGAAGAGAACCCCCAGAGTTTGCTATACCTACTAAAGCTTGAACCCTTGGTCTCACTCCTGGGGGGAGTGGTTGAAAGCGACGTGGCATCCGCAGTTTAAGGAGATGCAAGTCTACGCAGCTGGAACGGGGGCGGGGGGTGGCAGAGGGACCGTGTCCTGCATTCGGGCCCTGCCAGAGGGTTGAGTGAGAAGAGGAGGAGGGTGTGTGACTGGGCAGCCTGGACGACAACCACGTCGGTAGGATCCGCTGCTTGAAGGACAGACAGGCTCCCCTGTTCCCACCCCAGATTCTGGCGAATGAGAGCTCCCTGCCCTGCAGCCTCCCGGCAGAACCTGGTCACAAAGCCCCATAGTCTCCTAAACTCTCCCAGTTTCCTCTTCCACTCCGTGTATTTTCATGCAACTGATTAAAAACTTCAGCTCCCTCAGGTAAGGAAGAAGAGCGAATGCATTCACATTCATCTTTGGGATCTCAGCACCAAGACTAATCCTGGGAGTCGAGTACATAATCAATAAATATTTATTTTGGAGGTTGGATTTCAGTAAATTACTCTTGTAATGCAAGGATACAAGAATTTAATTGCCCTGTAAGAACATTTTTCAGTAATTTATTGGCTTGTTTATTTGGTTTAGTAATTTCGTTTTGGAGGGGTTGGTTTATTTCATCATTCATCAAACGTTTATTACTTATCCATTGCATAGCAAACACCGTGTTGGTACAGGCGTACAAAGTGGACAAGGATTCAGGTCCTCTTCCTCCGGGATGTTGTCTAGTGGGCAGGCAGACAGCGGATATGCAAGTACAGAGGCGTGAGCACGTGCTAGTGCAACGCCAGGCTCTGAGCTAGAGAGTAGGAGACCCTGAGTTCCGGACGGGCCTGCGAGAGCGCCTGGCATCGCACCCGGGTGCCCAAGCCTCCCTGCTCCTTCTCCTCTCCCCAGCTCCCTCCCACAAGATTTTATCATGTGTCCCATGACCAGGGCAGAAAGTACAGGATAAGGGAGGCTTGCACACGTCTGCCCCAAGGACAGGACCTTACCACAGCATCCCGGGGTGGGCTGTCTTTTTCCAGTCTACTCCCCGCAGGGCGTAATTCTACTTTCCAGCCTTGGCCTCTTAACACACGTCCGTACTGCCACGGATGTGCCGTCTTTGCCCCGGCAACACCCTCACCCCCCTCCCTGACCCCTCCTTTCGGAACCTTGTGGGCTGATCCTGTGACCTGTAAACGCCACAGGCCTGCGGTTTCCACAGGCCCTCGAGGTATCGGTCCCGTGGGTGTGCCCCCGGGGCCCGGTGGAACCCCTCCCTGGGTTTGGCAGTGCCCAGAATCTGGGGGGGTTTCTTTTGCAGTCATGTGGTGGCACTTCCCCTCTGGACACGCAGAGAAGGCGGCTGCATCCCTTCCTGTCCCAGGGCAGGGCACAGGCTGCTTTCCCCGAGTCCTGCCACGTGCAGCGAGCCACCCTGACAATAAAGGCCTGTGGAGAGAGACACGGGGAGGCAGGCCAGGTCCCCGGTGCGCTCGCCTTCCCTGAGCCTGTGTGTGCCCCTCGGACCATCCCCAACTCTCTCCCCCACGGCACCCGCCCTGTTGCCGCAAGCCCCGTAGACCCAAGTTTTTAAGTCTTGCAAGCAAAACCGTTCTCACTAAGGTAAGTGTTTTTCCCACGGCACGTGTTTTCTATCAGAAATAGGGTCAGAGAACTGACTACTTAAAGGAACACTGGTGAATTCTTTTTAAATGGAGGAATACATATATACACATACATACACATAAAAAAAGACTGACACCATGAAAATATGTATATATCTACATATACATACACATAACAAAAGGCTTGCTAGCATACAAACAGTTAAAAATAAACCTCCTTCAGTGTAATTTGCGATTGCATGCACTTGAGAATACGTACTAATCTATGGGTGTTCCTCACATGGGTAGAAACTAAATACGTTGTCGGTATGAAAGAGAAACAATTTTAAAAATGTCGCATTTATTCATCAGCCTCATTTTCATTCAACGTGTGAAAGGCCCCAAATATAAAATACTGTACCTAAAGCGGAAAAACATAGAGATGGTCACGATTTTCTGTGTGTCATTATTGTGTTGGGTGCTGAATTACCGTGCCTGTCCTTCATATTCTGTACAGTTGGAGGCTAGAACAGATAGCCTTTCAAAATTTTCATACTTCAATAATATCTTTATAGAGAAGGGGATTAGGTTTGATAGTAGGCGGTGGTTCCCAATGCGTGACAGATTCGTAAATGTTTTTAAAAGCCCCGAGAAAAGACAGCCTTCTGCTCTGTAGTCTTTGTTGCAAAACAGCGATGTCCTTGACCTGTGCCCGTGGGCTGACATGGTCCTTGTTACCCTTGAAATGATTTGAAAGCTCCCCTTTCTCCAGTTGTCTGTTACAGCAGCGGGTGTCCCTGGCCGCTGCTGTTCCTAGAAGCCGCCCCAGAGCGGGCTGTTGCAGAAATGACGTCAACTTCCGTTAGGAGCAAAGACATAAAAGGGGCTCATGGCTCTGACCAAAGTCTGAACTCCAAGTAAATCATATATCTAATCATTCGTCCTCATATTTTTCTTAACTCTTTTGATTAACTTTACTTACTGTTTATCATATGACGAGGACTGAACTAGGTTAGGCCCTCGGTTTTTTTCTTTTTTATCTTAAGATGAACTCCCCTTTTACTCCGCTGTTTCCTTGCTGGCACGCCATTGCGCAGTTGCCCATTCTGCGACGCCCCACGTCCTTCCCGGGGCCTCTGCCTCTGCCGCCTCCATGCGTCCCTGTGGCCGGGCCCACACGCAGCCGCCTTCTGTCCACGTTGACCACACCGTCTTCGTGTCCTGCACGAGGACCCTGGAGAGCATTCCGGACCTTTTCTCCAGGGGGATGTGGCTGCTCTGGGTCGGGGTCTGTCCCGTGCGTGTTGACGGACAGGTGGCCGCCGCGTGGGACATGTTTCCAAGAGCTGGGCGTGGCCAGGTGGCCTGGGTCAGGCGTCTCACTCTCTTGTGAGAATCCCCATAGCCCGATAGAGGGCCCACTTGCGTACAAACATCATGTTACAGAGCGACGTCTGATTCTTCGGTGGGCTCGGCACTTCGGCGACGGCTTCCCACCAGTTAGAAACAACAGCCGGGCTGTCTGAGAGGGCGCCTTGGCGAATGCCCACACGGTGACCGGCCACGGTCCTCCGTGCCAGAAGCGCACGGACGTCTGTAGCGTGAGGACAGGCTTTTGGCGCACCTGCCCAAACTCACGCTTTCGACATGCTGTATTCTGCCGTGGGCGAGCCACACTTTTTTGCCCAAATACTTGAGGGAAAGATAAGGATGCGCATTATACACGGACGGTACTGACGCCACATCTCTGTAAATGTTTTCGATTCTTTTATTAACGCTTGTGCGTGGGAAGGGTAACGCTGGAAAGCAAGAACGATACCCGTAGGCCGAAAGAGGACCCCGGCACACCATCATCAATGTTGTTTCTCCATATAAATACATAAATAATTGGACTTAAGAATTCAAATGAAAGATTTTTTCCCCCTGGAAGTTTGGGCCAAAAAAGATAGTGCGCCGTATCCACGGCAAAAGACGGCTGTCCCGTGGAGAGCCTGGGGACTGTCGCCATCCCCTGCTCACCTGGACACGGATGCACCTCTGCGG